GGAGATTAAGCTACTTGCTGGAAAGGGCAGAAGCCATGCGATGGTAGGAAGAACCATCTCCTGCAACAGCAGTGCCACATAGACAGGTTCAGTGGTGCTAGCACTGAATGGGAGCTCCTTTTACACCATACTTTGGGACTGGGTTGCAGATAGGTAGCAGTGTTGGTACAGCTGTTGTATTGCCTTTCATTATTACTGCTCTTGTCAGCTCCCAGCAGCAGCTAATTATATTTGAAAAAACATTTCAGGTTTTTCTTGCTAGATACCACTGTATATGCCAAGTTCTGTTATTGCTTAGAACATTGCTGCTGCTCACACTCCTTGATTGCTGAGACTACACCTGCATCACAGTTAGCATCAATGTTCAAGGTACTTATGCAAAAAAACCTGACAGTAGCAGTTTCAGTGTCTTCTATCTGCCTAAATAAAGAACATGATGCTTGAATACTCCCACTGGGACTATAGTGGGACCCTTGTTTCCTTGTTTGAAATAATCTTTTCCATTAATTGGGTTTTGTAACTACTTCAAGATGAGAAACAGCTTTTACAGGTAGTTAAGTAAGCATAACGCAAATTTTGTATCTTGATTTTTGAATACCGAAAAGTGTGTTTTACTGTTTTGTCTGGAATACGTAGAGACACAAGGCATCTTAAAAACACAGTGTACAGAACAGTTTTTACTACCGCTATTGTAAGGGACAGCCCTTTTTTGTGTGGTGACTTTCAGGTTCATCATAATGACATTGAGTTTTCTGAACACTGAAGCATTTTAGATCAGGATAAATGCTTGAACCAGGAATTGCTAAAAAAAAAGAACCAAACAAACCCTAAAACCAGACAAAATGCTGCAGACTGATCTGGAGCAAGTCTGAATCCGAAAAGCAGGCAGTAAGCTGGATACTGCTCAGGACACATCTTCTTGTCCCATAGGGCAGCAGAGGACTGAGAAGGCATCGCAACTGTGTCACCTCTCATATCCAAACACTGGACACAGACAGGTGAAGCAACATGTGCAGACTGCTTTCATGCAAAATTGACCATGTAACCTTCTGCAGGATCCATACTGTCTTGTACTCAGATGTTTAATTAAAGCAGGCTGTGCTTTAGCTGCATATACTCATCCTTTTGCATCAGGCAGACTCTCAGAGCCAGATTACATGCTAATGCTAACTGCAAACTTTCAAGGCCACATAAGTCAGTTTATATCTGATCACATTTACCTTCTGATTTGTAAGCTGTCAAAGACACAATGTAAGCAAAATGGGTGAAATCTTGTTTCCTCTACCAAGGGACAACCTGTATTTCACTTTTCAAGACTAACAAAATTCCAAAACTTGAAGTTCTGAAAGGGACAATTTGCTCTTTGATCACCGCCCCTGTGATGACCAAGCTAGCATTTGAACCACATGCTTTCATTATAGGGAAGCCAATCACCAGCTCTAACCACTCTTCCCTCTCTGTCACCTTCTGCCTTTCGATAATCCTCTGGCCAAAGATGCATACCAAGAGTGTCCTATCTTCCTGTTGCTTTCTTGGCTCCCCCAGGTCTAGGGCCCCTCCTGTTACAACTGGCAAGAAGTGGTTTCTCTTATAGCCTAAAGGACCAGAAGCGCAGTAATTCCATAAAGATGCCATTTTGATGTTAAGAAAAAAAAGAATAAGGTCAGTCAGAACATGCCACTGGATGGCTGGCTTGGAAGTAACCCCACTCTGGCTGTGGAGGGGAGACTGGCTTGCCTTATTCATTTTTGTGGTTTGATCACTCGTCTCATGGAAAGTACCTTCCATTTGCAGATGAATGTCATTAAGACTACAAAGCACCCTGCCCTGGATTACTGCAGCTCCATGATATTTGTCTGACTGGAAAATGACTGAGAAGGATTCTCACCTCATAGCCAGAAAATTTGTTAATTAAGAAGGCTTTCCTTATTTTCAAGTTCTAAATATCCCTCAGACATGGAGGCTCATATTAATGTCCAAACTTTTTCCAGCTCAACCAGGGAGCATCATTTTAAGCAAAACATCCTTCAGTGACAGACACCTCCAGCATGGGTTTATGTGCTTGCTTACCATTATTTTACAGCCCTGCACGTGCTCAAGGCCTTTGCTGAGATGCTAGCACTCTAAAATGAGTATATTCTTCAATCTTGCTTGAGTGTAACAAGGAACACATCAGCAGATGTTTCCGAGAAACTGGGGAAAATGCCAGATGCTACATCTGGAAGAAATGCCCTACATGGGAAGCGAAGTAACACTCATGCTGTGTTTGGAGCAGATATGCCTGCTGGCTGGTAATGGGGCTTGATCAGGCCAAGGGGCAGACATCATCTGTGGCTCTGAGCATATCCCAGAACACCATAGGAAGCATGTCTTGGCAAGCAACTGTTCTTTTGCATGATGAAATAGAAAGAGTGGTTAAGGATTTCACTAGTAGTAAGAACTTTACTACTCTTTTTATATGAAACCAAATGCCAGGTATACCAGTGAGGCATTTCTTACTAGTAAATAACCTTTTTATCTGTTTGATAACACTAACAACCCAAGATTATACTGACACAAAGCACATTTGACAGTTACATTTTATGACTGTTCAGAAACTAAAGCTCAATATAGAAGTCAGCTGTGTGGCTGGTAAGTAGGTCATCTGTTGGGAACAGATGTGCTCTTTCATCTGCACTGCTTGCCAGTTGGCTTTGGCCTGTAATGCCCTAAATGCTATACTCTGCCGGCTAAGAGAGTGTGTGATGACACAAAGGGGTTAGGAATCCTTCACTGATGATTCTACAAAGGTTTCCTTAAGCTGGAATTCATTTCCCACCCTTTCACCTTAAATTATCCTGGTGCATTGACTTCTAGTCCACAGAAGGCTGATCTGCTCTTCCAGACTTGGAAAAGGAATGAAGGCAAGGGAATTTGTCTAACGATAATTTGAGAATCATTTGGTTCTGTCTGTGGTATCTGCTCCTAGAGCAAGCATTTATTTTTTGAAATTAAGACTCTGTTTAGCAGTTTAAATTTGTCACAAAGCAGTTAGTGCCAAGAGTGGCAGAAAGATGCCTTTATGCGTGCCCCTGAACATACAGAATGAAAACACCAACACTGCATTTGTTTAGAAGAATATTAAACAGACATCTTGTTCAGCTGTGTGCATTTGTAATGACATAATTCAGGACCTTAGAGTCAGACACACCTGCTTTCAAAGTAAGAACATATTTGGAACTAAGAAAGTCATGACTCCCCCAATTTTGTGGGATTCATTCTTAAGCCTTCATAGGTTTACATAAATGTTAATTCTTGCATTTATACTAATTTTTTATTTGTATTCATAATACAGGAGAAAGGAAGAGTTGACAAAGACTTGGGTGGCATGGCTTAGTGTGGGGTGTCCCTGCCCATGGCAGGGCGGGTTGGAACTTGATGATCTTAAGGTCCTTTCCAACCCTAACTGTTCTATGATCCTATGATTAGGGGTACTCAGCATCCTCTTCCCCCCTTCCAGTTTAACCCTTATTTGATTACAACATTAACACTAGCAGAAAATACCTAGACTTTAGAAGAAATTGATCATACTTTCTTCTTCAACTTCTAAAGCAAACAAGGAATGACCAGTGATGGCCTGGGACAATGCCATTAAAAAGAGCAATGATTCCAGACACAGTGCAATGCAGTTACACCTTCTCCATAGAAAAATGAAGTTGAGCATATAGTCCTTACAAGATCACTGCAAAGCTCTTCTCAACCACCTGATGTGACAAAAGAGACCCACCCCTTTCCAAGCATTAGCAAATGAAGGATGGCTAACTCTTGATGCATACAGAAACCCAGGAAATTATCATTTCTACTTTACTGCATGCAAGGCTGTTTATTGTTTTGTATCCAAATTGAAGATTTCTTCACACATTCTGCAAGCCATTCAATTAAAGCAGGCAAAAAGAGGGAAGTGTTTATTCCTGCACACATTAACCAAAAGGGGATAAATAGAAAATACTGAAGCTCAAAACCAACAAAATAAAGTTACAAAATGAAACACACACACACACACAAAACCCAAACAAACCCACAACAAAACCCCAAAAAACCTAAAGAAAAGAAAAAACCCAACACCAAAAACCCCACCACCCCCCCAAAAAAATACAATGAGAAACGAAACCCAAACATATATGTGCATTTTGGATATAAAATTACAATTGCCTTCAAACACAAGAGCAACATATGGAGAAATGCATCCAGTAAACCACTCTTGCTCCCCTAAATATCATGTGTCTGATTAAAGAGCAGGGTGGACATGTGTCAAGTAACGTCAAATATCTGCTTACCTATCATCTTTATCCCATTCTTGCAACTGTTTTAGTTTTACCACATTTTAACTACAGCACAAGGAAGTGTGGGGAGCACTGGTAAAGCATAACTAGAATCTTAATGTATTTATGAAAGTGTACAGATTAATTCGAATGCTTCACTTACTGGACAGTGATAATTCTCCAGATTCTCTAGCTAAAGGGAGATACAGCAACTGCACATATAAGCATCCCTATGTATATCACACATCAACAGTTTTTATGTAACAGTGCAATGTGAAAGTAGTATATGGCCATTTGCTACCAGCTCAAATATCACTTTGCATTCTTTTCTATACAGTGGTTTCAGCTCTTACACATGGGCCTTTAGTTTTTTCCACTAATTGGAGTGTGTGTAGGCTAAAGCAGACTGGTAGCACTGCATTTAAAAAGCCCCAGAATTTTCTGTCCAATTGGAAACAACTCTAAATGACAACAGCTCTGCAAGGCATTCCATCCTGGGTTTAGCTCCACTGCTCATACTTGGTTCTCTAGAAATGGAAAAAATTGTCAAGGGTCTGGCTATAGGACAAACTGAATACTAAATGTGTTTAAATATGATGAGATCACTTTGTTCTCCCTTTTAATGGCACATGGCCTTACTGTAAGCAGAAGAGCTGGAAGACACAGAACTCAGTTAAGCACCAAAACTAAAAACCTTACCTCTACCTGCACCTGGGCATTATCAAGTTTGTTTTCAGCAAATGAACGTTTCCTGGTCTGTCCTCTCCTGTGGCCAAATTTGCATTTGTTCCTCAGGACTTGCTCATCATCTTCAATGGGTCTCCGCACATACTTGAAACGATCCTTAAGGGCCCGTTTCCACAGCAACTGCATGGGAAAAAAATATTATGTCATTACCAGTATATTTCTAAAATTTGCCCTATTCCTAAAGCAGGTCACTGTGGTTTATCTAATTCTACTTTATAAAAAAGCATTTGCTCTATAGGGTGACATCAGCATATTGTGGCTTTAGGACTGAAGGAAACACAAGCACCTGCAGTATATGACTATGGCAACTAAACAGCCAAGATACTGGCACCACCCTAGTTTGTTAAGGATAATTGCAATTGAACCTAAGGGCTAGATTTATCCAATATAATCAGGTCTGTCTGTGAAACTGCAGTTTGCTTTCTTTTTCTCAGGTCTTTCTTTGGGATGCTCTATTCATGACATCAGGTCATGAAACTACACAGCAAATTGGACCAGCTCACTGATGCCACAGAAAACTAATGTTTGGGGGGTTTTTTTGAGTGGAATATTTTTTTCTCCTCCTCTGACAGCATCTGCCTGGCTGTGCAGTTGTGCGATTATTATATATAACACAAGGGAGTGGGAAAGACACAGGGGGATGCTCCTGTTTGCAGAGAGCCTACAGTTGCACTGGATCAAACAGAACTCAAAATTTCTGAATTAAAAGGATCGTTTAAGTAGGTCCTAGTGTTTGTGAGACTCCTAAAGACATATAAATTGCAATTTAAAGGCAGTTCTGCACTGCAAGTAGATGCAGACCCTGTTTAATGGAGCCATTCACCATTCCCTGGCAGCTAAAGTTGGAGTTTATGTGGTCCCACTGCTCCTATCACACTTGTCTCCTTTTTTACTTGGGTACTGACAATTCATTTCTGAAAACTGGATGAACAGCAGCTTCCTTGTGCATCCTTATGGACAGACACCTGTTTACATGCAGTCCCTGCCTGGGCATCCTGTGGTGAGGCCAACGATCAACACACAGAGAAGAAATTACAAAACAACGACTGTTAAATATGTCCGCATGCAAAACCGGCAATTGTGAATATCAGAAATGCTTCATCAGCTCCTCAAAAGCAACTGCTTATTCCAATCATTGAGGGGTTTTCAACAGTCAGAGCGAACAAAAATTAGTCAGAGAAGTGACTTCAAATGACAGGACATGGCAAGAGATATTCAAACAGCTGTTACCTCATTTTCTAAAATCAACTCCAATACTATGCTCACTTAACACTACACTCAAGCCTGTACAGACTGACATAACTGAAACAAATATAAAGAGAAGAAGGATCACCCCAAACTTCTTGCCAATATTGTGACCTTTACTAATAAAGGTCACACTATTTCAAGGGTTAACTTAGGTAGGTGTAAACCAGAATTCAGTAAAAGAAGACTAAGAAATAGTGTCTTTCTTTGCAGAGTCTGACATGCCTGCCTTTCTCACCCACAGGATATGGTTAGGAGGGTTTCTTAACACAGTGATGAAGGCAGCATGACCATGTCTTTCTCCTGCTGAACATACTGCACCCACCTCCCTGGGGCACTAGCTGACTTACAAGCCCTCAATCCTAAAAGCAAGACCTCTATTAATGGTGAAAAATGACAGTGGAAAAGCTCCAAGGACAAAACTCCTGCAGCATCTAACTTGCCTGTTCTTGAGCAGATCTGGGCCAGCCAGGGCCCTTCCTGGGAGGATGCTTTCTATCACCCACCAATGAGCCCTTACAGAAGTATCCCCTCAATGCCAGTCACACTTGAACATCCAAGAACTGGAAAGAAAATAAATCCATCTGCATTTCTAGTATGTAAATTCCAGACTTTGGATTCTGCCAGAACAGGAGTCATGATGTCACCATCCTGAACACAAGGAAAAAGAGCCATTGTTCCCAAAAGTAGTAAGGTGACAACATGCCTTGAAAATCCTGCTTGCAACCTGCCTGAACCATTAAGATTCCAAAATATGTTTACATTTCTGTCCTATGCATTTGCATCTTGATGTAAATACCCCAAAATGACATGCCCAGCAACATCTATTTAGAACACTGTTATTTTAAAGCTGTTAAAAAGCAGGCAAACAAAAACCTTAGATTAATGCTTCTCTGAAGTGTTCAACAGATATTAAAATATTTTAAAACATGATCATCCCAGAATATATTAGCAGCTGACAAATTAAATGTCCCTTTAGTTAAGTTTTACATAGTTTCTATTTGGAAACTTTTGTTTGGCTAGAAGACATTTTTGCTTATTCTTCCACATGACGGAATATGCTGACACCTATACAGAGCTTTAAATATCCCTCAAAGTTCAAAACATTCATCTGTTTCATCCGCTCACCCTCAGATAAAATAAGGGTTCTGGCTAAATCTATTTCTGTACTAGGATTCTCATAAGATTAGACAAGTCCCTTCTCACATACCTATGTCATGAATGAGACTGTGAGCACATACATTTATGGGGTTATCCTAGTGGGTAATGTGTCTTCTAAAAGGGATGCCTTTTTAACCATTTTTTTAGCTGATAACTTTATTTTCTGTTAATTCCACACACACACTCAAAAAACCCCAAACAACCCACCCAAACCATCCCAGGAAGGTTTACAATGCTTGTAAGGGAGCAGAAGGATTAGTCTGTGTCTATCTGACATAGCAGGGAAAGGATTACACACAGATTAAAAGCAGTAATTTACTAGTGAATAATGATTTTGTGTGCAGCAGTTACATAAATAAGGCATGTCAGTCAGCACAGGCATCCCGGGCTCCACCGGTGTCACGGCACCCCTTAGCAGCCTCAAGCTCAAGGGAGCTGCTTACGCAAAGCTGTGCGGGTGGGAGAGCCCTCTCTTTTCCTTCCTCATGTAACATAAATTCTTTAAACCGCACAATTTTCAACACGTTGTCTGAAATGAAATGAAATAAGGGCACTGACTCTTTCCAAATGCTTGGTAGTAACCCTTGTAAAGAGGATAAATACAAATAGAATAGTATCTTGAGAGTAGTCAATTATTATATTTTATTATTATTTTATTTTTCTTATATACTTTCAATGTACTATTAAAAATTGTTATAATGTCTAATTATTATAAATAAACAGGTTTAAGGCACTCAAAACCTCTCAATAAGCAATATTTTACATCTTACAAGACCTGTGAATCAATACTGTTATCAGAACCAGAAAGCCGCAGGTCTTAAAGCCCCATGCAAGCCTGGGCAATTTTAAAAGAAAAGTCTACAAAAACTTTGCTTTTTTCAGCTGTTGCAGACTCTTTTGTGAGAAAAGATGAAGGAATGGTGGTTAGCCAATTTGACTGCTGTTGTTCATTTGTTTCTTAAAAGCATATGAATTCAGTTTTACTGCAAGCTTCATACTAAGTAGCTCTGGAAATGTAGGGGTTGTTTTAAGCCGTTTTTCTTGTAACACACAACTATCTCTGATCAAGAAAAAAGAAGTATTTATAGCCTTTATGATCATGAAGGAAGAACAAAATGTCTAACAGTATGGCAAATAAAAATAGCAATTCATTCTCACCCCCTTTTCTAAACTTAAGTATACAGACATACACCTTTTTTCATACCTCAGCCAAGGCAACAGAGAGGGGCCAACTTAGAAGTGTTAGACTAGCGATATTGAGAAGTGCTAATTCCAGCTTCCTTGCTTACTTATGGTGGTTTCTTCCAGATATGCTTTCTAGTAAGCATGAGAGAAATATCAAAACACAAACGACAACTCTGAAGTCTCTGCCCCATCACAAAACTCCTGCCAGCACCAACTCCAGGATTGATCTGGAAAATGATGAGCCCTTATAACAAGGGAGTTATAAGTAGTTTCACCCCCCCTCTATGGTCCTACTGCAATTAAAGCCCTTTCAAAGTCTGGCTTAAAAATATTTTTTAAAAGTTAAAGGCTGTAAAATGGTCTTTGGACCTGACCTGAACGTCATTCCAGCTCCCCTTCACAAAGGGAGACAGATGAAGACTTAGCATGACCGGGGGCAGTGGCCAAGGACCCCCACTGGTGTATTCAGACTGGCATCCTGATCAAAAATAAGGGTGGACTGTTGCATTCTCATCCTTCTGTTTCCTTTCCCCTCACTGAGATGTGCCTGTTTTCTTTAGTCCCTTCCCTCCTACACTGCCTGGACTCAGGGGAGAACTAGAATAGCCACCCCTTAATACTCCTATTTTTTTGTTTTATTTTCAAAATTATTTATTTGGCTTTCTGCAGTAACAAGAGATCTATTTATATACATTTAAAGCTAACAGTCTCCACTAAGTCTCACAAGCTTTTACAAGATGCTATAAAAGAATCACATGGCAAAACAATGATGTGAAGTCAAAAGGTGAATACTGTCCTCTGAGACCACAGATACGTACCAGGGTTCACAAAAGTGGAAAAAATGTAGTTCAAATTTAAGCCATCTCCTTCCACTGCTTTCTTTTCTGTCCCACTGAGCTCAGTGTTTTTAAATAATTATTTTTCTTTTAATTTAGGCCTAGATTCCAGACATACTTAAACCAGTGGTATTACACGGTATTACTACACACCGTAGCTAGATATCTAACAGACAAGTGATCATAGTAAATTGCAAGAGCCTCGGTCATGTTAGTCCTCATGCAATTTCCTAAAGACTCAGCTTCTTTGTTTACAAACAAAAATAAGTCACATTTACTTAAATTTATTCTTTTGGAAAAATCAATCCAGGAAAAAAAGGTACCCAACAAGCAACCTTCACGTACAGGTTTGCATGATCTCACAGTGGCCTTGAGGAATGGCTATAACTGGATTAACTTTTAATCAAAATCATGACAGAAGAATGTAATATGCCAAACATATTAAAGTGAAGCTTAAAGCTCTGACTAGAGCCAGTGCATAACAAATCAATATTGATTTCCTCTGATGTAGGTTATTTCTTGTGATTGATTATGTGGAAAAAAAAACCAAATAAATAGAAAAACCCAAATAAACAAAAGCTGTATTTTTCAAGATGAAGTACTCTTTACAATACTTACAAAGCCATTCCCATCTTCATCAAGGAAGGGATATGCCTGCAGCAGAGCATTGACAACTATGTTATACTGTTGGCTGGTTGGATACCTGTGCAAACAAGACAGAGATGTAAAAGGAATAGTTGGTATTCTAGACAGTACCAGACACTGTCTAGAGTCTATACTGAGCTACATTAAATTGACTATTTCTCAGACTATTGATTCCCCTCCAAATAACAAGGGGAACAGCCTTAAGGTCTGCATGAAATCTTCCTGTTGGCTTCAACAAGTTTCAGGCCCTTAGCCTTCTCTGTTTAAGCAAGCTTATTAGAAAAGAATGGTTTTACATCCATTTGAAAACTTGTTTCTGCAGCCAATAGATAATACCCCCAAATAAATCTAACAATGTTTACTCACAGTGATCCATCTAGGTATTTTGTCATGTCTGCTTGTAAAAATTCAATAATTCTTATTCTCATACTGTGATCAGGGCACTTTTTTTCTGCTAATATGCACTTGACATCATAAGGGAAGTCTGGCAAAGCGTAAGAACTTGTCCACTGCAATGTCTTGTATCTTGTAAACAATGATTTCAGATTTTTTCTGTAAAGGAAAAGATTATATCATCATGATCACATCCTTCTCTTATGGGAATGCAGACATGCAAATAAAATACAAGAAAAAACAAAAAGGAAAGTTGTTGCTATAGAAATTCAGATCTTCCTCTCTTGGTTTCTACATAAAGAATATCTACAAAAGCTGCAATCAATATGGGATTAAAACCAGATGTCAAATGTGAAATGTCATAATCAGCAGATACTAGAAGGTTGTCACTATCTGAAAGCAACAGGCAGAGCAGAGGAAGACACTGGAGACTTGCTACTGTTGCAAATAACTTTATCTGTCATCATTTATGTTTCCTACCAGTTCTGCTAACTTACTAGTAAGACAAACAGCTTAATTGAATAAAATACTATCCATGTCATTAGCTAAGATTGTCCTCCCAAAGGGAAAAGCAAGGAAGGAATGAAAGCAATTACCATCAGCACGTGGCTGGAAATAAAGCGGGCACAGCCCTTAAGTACCTGCAGCTCCTCTCCCAAGACCACCATCAACACTGTCTACAGATGTCACACCCCAGCTGGGGTGAGCCTTAGGCAGGATATTACCACTGGTTACCCAAACACTTCCCACCTCCAGAAAGCCTGACAACCCTAATTCTGAAGGAACACAGGGAAAAATAAAGATAAACTGGGTTGGAAGTCAATCAAGAGCCACCTTGAATCAAGATAGAATGGTCCTGGCAGCCTTAGACAGCTTTCCAGTCATAATGGTCCAGACAACAAAGAAATCTCAAATGAGAAGTACCAAAGACAACTAAAAAGTCCCGTTATGTAGGTGGCATGACTACATTTTATGTTTAATTAAAACTGCAGAAAGCAATTTGGAAAAAAATAGTAGATTTTTAAAAGAACTTAAAAAATAAAATAGTATCATTATAGATGAAAAATGTAGATGCTTACATGGTCTCTAAATTAATCATTTGTAGTCCCTTTCTATTCACTAAGGAAACAAATGCCACTGAAGGATGGCAGAACAACCAAAGACATCTAAATCAGACCAGATGTTCTCTCTTATCTATTTCCCTCTGCTAATGATGAAGGAAATTAAGATAGGTACTAAAGTTGTTGAAATATGTGTTGTATATGCCTCAAGTTAAGCATTACTCACTTGGGGGATATAAGGGAAACCTCCCACACAAACACTTGTGGCTGGACTAGGCGTGCTCTGGTGTCCCTTTCAAGCTGTATTAGATTTTGAGTCTATGACCATTATGGAGGGAAATACTGCTAGATTTCATCCAGTCAACATACATAAGTTTTCATTCCTTAAATAAATAAATGAAGGTCTCTATTGTAGCCTATAAGGGGAGCTAGGTATATAAATAAGAGCTGTGAACAGTTTTTTTAGCAAGGCCTTCACTGGAAGGTTTTGCTATCCAGACTCTTCAGGTAAGGATGTTAAAAACAAACAACAACCAACAACAACCAACACCCAAAAAGAAAAGCAACAAAAAACATGGAAACCAATATCTTTAAGCTGGCAAAATGAACTGCAATAGCAGTGAATGAGCATTTGCAATAGATTAGTTTATACCAGTTTGAAAGACTACTGTATACCTGGGAGGCAACTCATTTTGGGCCAGTTACAATCTTAGTATCTTCCTGAGTGGATTAGCCTGAGACTTTCAACCTCGTTGACCACAACAACTTGGCATCTTTTAATGTAACTTGCAGGTTGGCAAAAGCTCTGCAGATGTGACACAACTGCACCAAACCCAGCATTATGGCAAATTGCTATGCAGTGCAGATAGGGGAAAAAAAAAAAAAGAACAAGTCAACCCAAAAGAAAACTCATCCTCAGTGATATTCACAGTAGTAGCAGTACTCACAGCACTACCACTTCCCCAAGTAAAACAGGTACAAAATAGTCAGGGATGCTGTCTCTCCAAGCTCACCAGATTGTATGGGACACAGATGATTAACAGCAGATGTGAATTGCAGTGAACTTCTATTAGTACTTTGCAGCCTCAAAAGAAGGAAAAGCTGTGCAAGAGTGACAACATATCCACATAGACACATTCATGTCCTTATTTGGTGGTAAACTAATACACAAATGGGAAATTAAAACCCAGCCCAGATTCTGAAATCACTTGGAAATCCCTCCTATGCAAATAAAGTACAGATGTTCAGTGTAGCATCGAGGAGCAATGTAGCCTATAAGTTTGAATCCTGTACTTTCACCAGCTTTACTGATGAAAGTGATGTAGCAGACAGGCTGCAAGTTACTACATACTCTTCAACATGGTATATCATTTAAACTACCTCAAAAGTGGACAGAAGTTTAGTATTTGGTAATCTGTATCTGAGCAGCACTGAAATTCCTTTTGTTGCTAACATCAGTGAAGCTGCCCCTTTTTGAGAAGGCAGTTCAAAATTTAGCAGGTTCAGTTCAGGCAAACTGAACGATACTCAGTTACTTGAAGAAATATAGGTTTATTGCAGTTGGGATAGCTAACAGCCAGGGAAGCATGTGAACTCTCCCCTCTACCAGTCCCTTCACATTTACCAGTACAACAAATATGCTCCAAATTCTATTTCACTTCAGCTTTACCCAATACAAAATACTTCATTTCTGTCCAAATAAAATCCAAAAATTCCTTTCGTCTCCACAGTGCAAGAGATTAAATATTTTTCTAGGTTTGCTGGAATCATTGCTGTTTGGAAGGCATGTTAAATATGTGCAGTAATATTTTACAGTGAAATAGAAGTTTATTTGAAAAGAGACACCACTCCACACTACACCTCCAGAAAAGCTTGCATACAAATTTGTTTAACTAAAAGAAGAGTTTAGTTAAACTGTACGTGCACTGGGATTTATGAACACAGCCAAGACCTTCTGTGATTGTGGAGAACAGATTATAACAGTTGGAGATTTAGGTACAAGCATACATAGCCTGTTTCTAACCAACCCTCCCAGGTCTTCCAGCTAACCTGAGACAGACATAAAATCCACATCCCAAAATGCAAATTACCACATCTTTTTTTTTTTTTTTTCCCCTCTCAGTTCTGGAGACTTTTGATGCTGTAACTAAATCTGATGGCTAGCTCCTGCCAAATGTCAGCCCCCTCTCCCTCACTGTCATATGTCTCTACCCCTTTCTTACTGGTACTGGGAAGCCTCTAACCTTGTGGCAAGTTACTTAAGAAGCTACAAGTGAAAAAGTTCTTCATTTTTCCTCACAGTTTAGTTTTCTCACAGTTTAGGTTCCCAAAATGTCTCCCCATGAGGCAAGAGAAAGCAAACGAAGCAAGATTTATGCTTAACTGCAGTATGGAACTGCGTGCTAAGAATCATCTCCTCCGCAAAGCCACAACTAGTCACAGTGCTGTTGACCCCTCAGCTTTTGTGATGACAGTTTTACTTACTGTGCTAAGTCACATCACTGTTTCGCACAGCTATTTCTTCCTCTGGCTGCATTACATTGCTCATGCACAACATATTTACCAAGACAAAAAAGTGTAAAATAACATCATTTTGAGAGGAGCCATTTGTCTCCTTCAGCTGGGAAACAAAACAAAACAAAACAACCCACGAACAAAAAAAAAAAAAGAAAAAAAAAACCCCACCAAAAATCCCAAAGCAATCACCCCCAAGTCCCTACCTATTTGAATTGTATAATCCCTGGCATCCCTAATCCCAGGGAAATCTTATTTTACTGCCAAAAAGGCAGATGATTACACACTTGCAGTGTCACTCAAACCACCAAAGTTTCAGACTTCACTGGAGAGCAGTGAGTGAACACATCACCATGATCTCCAAGCTCACGATCCTGTGCAACTTCACACAAAGACACTGAGCTGCCTGAATTAGCTGTAACAAGGCAGTAAAAATAATCTTGGTGTCAGTATAGACAGTGATAGCAGTGCAAAGTGTACTAGGGTCCTAGAAACAAGATCATAATTAGACTTTGTCGATTTTAAGCTACTTGAGCATACTGGTAAGAAGGATCAGTTTCCTATATCTTTTTAGTTCACTTAGGAATAAAAGCGACTTAAAAGCTAACTGAGCACATGCATACACATGCTGTATTCAACTAGCTCTTATTATTACCTGCTTTATGAAGTTCATGAGTCTAGAGCACCCATTACTACACCTCGCATCAGCTCAGGGTCCAGTTAATCAGAGGACATCACAGCTGAGCAGAACTTTGCTGACATCAGTGGGTTCCCATGTTCAGTTCAGATAAAACTCAGCACAAGTGGAGCCTCAATGGATTCCCATTTTCACAGGTTAAGGCCTAACCTTTCATGGCTACACCACACATCAGCAAGAGACTCCTGTCTGAATATTTGTTGGATAGAAAAAAGCCTATATCTACAAAGTCAAGAAAAAACAGAAGAGAAAACATGGAACTTGCAGATGTGAAGGAAAGGAAAAGTCTGCAGCTGTAGAAAATGTTCCATTTCCCCAACTCATATATAATGCGCTTTCAACTTTATGACAATGTTTAAGGTTGTAAAGGTTATTTCATCAAAAAGAAAAGATTATGACAATGAAATATCAAAAACCCCTCTTTTCCCCCTCTTAATACTGGGATAAAATAGTGTTCCCTTTTTCTATTCACACTTCCGAGATCAGTGTCTGAAAGCTTCTCATGCTTTTTTTCTTCATGTGCTTCATTGCCATTCCTGATTTCCAGGACAAATGCACAGTTTCCCAGTTACTCCCTAGATCTTGGGTCTAGTAGTCTACTAGTGCTTGATGAGGTCTTTTAATTTTCCACTTCCCACTAAACGTATGGTCAGGTATCCTTTAGACTGAACAAGGAGTTACCCGCAACAGTGTTAACTCCAGGTAAGCTAGGACACAGGAGCAAAGAGACACACCATAGCTGCCTATTCCCCAGAGCAGCTCCCATTTCAGTTTATCCTGCAGTACACTTGCAATAGAAACCATCACATTCAGGACAAGCACAGAGTTCCAGACAAAATTAATCAGCTTAAAAAACACATTTTGAGAGATGCAGACACAACCTTCTT